TGACTTGTCTCTTTTTTGTGACCCTTCTGTAAGAGGATGTCCAATTTTCTCCAGATGGGCTTTGGGTCTCCACTCTGCCACTTCCCCTCATTCACATTGATATGACCTTTTGTTTGGGGTCTTTGATGCCTGATACCTAATCCTATCAGCACCTCATGATCACAGAGGCTAGTGTGCTTCTTCCTTGTGCACTTTGTTGCTTCTCAGTTAGATGGCTGCTTGTTTGTCTTCAAGCCTTTAAGACCCCAGATGCTATATCTTTTGGTAGCTGGGCACTATCAGCTTTCTTCACCACAGTTGCTTTGCACCCATTTTGTCTTCAGCAGGAAGGAAAATCACATCTCTTGTGTGGTAGTTACACAGTTTCATGTCAACTTGATAAGAGAATCAAGGGGTGGAGTTCAGCCTGTCAATCAGGTCACAGCCTGATGATGCCTTCTTGTGGGCATGGTCTACTCATGAGGATTCTGGGAACTTCCTTTCTTTTTCTCCTGGGAGGTGGACCACACTCTCTCTCTTGTTTCATCTTCCTGTTGACAAGCCACATGGAGCCATGCTGATGGCAGCCAGAGCCCTGGAGATGTTACCACCGCCATTGGAGCCTCAAGACTTTGCACTCACTGGCTGGGATCTTTCTGCATTCTGCATCACTGCATGTGACTGCGTCGAAGAGTGATTTATGGACTAGTATCGGACTTCTGGCCTAATATCGGACTTACGGACTTGATCTGGACTGGGCTGGGATGTTCTCTTAATGTACAATTGCTCTTTGATATAAAGCTCTCTCTTACACCTATATGAGTGTTCCTGGATTTGTTTCTCTAGTCAACCCGGACCAACACATCTTGTCACAGAACTAATGGATGATAATGGGTGGTGGTGGGCTGCTACTTTGAAGCTCTTTTTCATGTGTGATTTCTATCAATAGCCTACCTTGCCCATTAGATTTTCTTTCTCAGTTTATAGGTAATGTTCCTTTATATAATAAGTATTTCGAGTTTAAAAACACTTGGGAAAAGTGAGTCATTTCTGACACCAGATGTAAAAACGAATACACATCATGTTCAGGATTTATAAAACGTGTTACTGTGGATTAGGTGAAAGTTTACAGAGCAAGTCCATCAGTTTTTCCTTCAACAATTGTATACACTTTGTGTCAACTCATCCACTGCAGCCCCCTCACTGTCCATCTCCGTGTGGCCATGGTTTTGTTCCCCTCCTTTTCTGGCCCGCT